AAAAAAAAAAAAAAAAAAAAAAAAAAAAAACAAAAAGAAGCTGCACCCATTGTGTACTGTAATGCTGACTGGTACATCCCCAATCCTTTAGTTGAGCTACAGAACAAAAAGTTTGACAATACAGCCATCAACAAACTTTCTGAAACTTGGAGGTTTAACGTTCACCAATCATTCACATAAACACGATCAATACTACTCCCATCTTGATCTGGTCTAGTTTACCCAACTGAATTAATTTTGTTTATTTTCAGCAGCACTTGTTTGCTATGCCTAACCACACTTCTGCCAGCATTTAATGCCTATCATCAAAAGAGAAGTGCTATTCTATGCCTATTCTGGCAATTTTTCAATCTACTCTATTAGATGCGATTCTGACAAACCATCATAATTCTCAGCAACACCGAGCGTACATGACAGGAAAAACAGCTGCATTACGCTTAGCGCGTTATAAAACATTTTCCACTATACAAGTGCATTTAAATGATATTGCTTGGAACTTTAATAAGATGCTGCGGTAGAAATGAGCAAAGCAGCAAAGAAAATGAATGCAAGAATGAAAAAAAAAATTGTATTGTATTTTTTTTTTTTTTAAATACCTTACATGTCATTTAAAATGGCATTACTTAGCTAGGTGACTACAAATGAAGCAACCTTACCTCTTGGGACAAAAAAGGAATGACTTGTGCACAGATAGCATTCAGTCTCTTGACAATTTCTGCCTGCAGAGAAAAGAAAAGAAATATAGAAGCATTTATTAAGCAAAATACCTTTTTACCCAGAGACGGAATGTATTAACATTTGATATATTGAATTATGTATACTAAGTACCTAGTCTCTAAATAAACAACTAGAGAATAAAAGGAAAGAGGGCCCTAATCTGCAGGGGAACCACAAATCTCCAGTAGGCAAGTGGCTCGCGCCCAAAACATTCAGCTCAGCAGTATGTTAATACGTTCTGAAAAGTTTTTCCTGGCCATATCCATGGCAGCGCTGACAAATGGGTTTAGATCCAATTACCCCTAGCTGACAGGAACCAAAAGGGTTAAACAAGGCCTAACCCTCTCTATAAAAGCCCCTCCTCCTGCTGACTTCCCCAGTCTTTTTGTTCCTGTCCCCCTAGGACAGGGTTGTTTGTATGTTACTGAGAAGTTTTTCTTTATTTGCCAACTGATTGATTTCGTATTGGCCTCAGGGGAGTTCAGCCTCTCTCCCCTGGGAAGTCTCCAAGACTCGGCCCCGTGCAAGGGTGTCCCCTTGGGGAAGGACAAACTTTGTTTCCATGAGAGGAAGCCGGATTTTCCATATACTGTGCAGCCTGTCAGACAGGGAGGGTAAGACTGTTGTGGTTTCACTTACCTGCTGTGCTGTATGATGTCCTTTTCACCTCGGCCGGCTCCCCGCGGTCTTGTCTGTTTGTGATGTGTGGGCGAGACAGGATGGGCAGTAGCGGCTTCATCTGGCATCTGCGCATGCGCGGAAGTTCCGTCGTGCGTGACGTCACCAGAGATTCGGATCCAAATTTTAATTTGCAAGCCATTTCCAGGGAATTGAAGCTAGAATTTTTTCCGTTGGTTTATCCCCCTTTGGATTCCCCCTGGAGATCCCTTAAAGAACGGGATATCATGGATGATTGCCCCTCACCACACCGGTCTGTGGAGACGAGGTAAGGGCAGTAAAAAAAAAAAAAAAAAAAGAGCATTTTATTTTTCTGACAGTCATATACTTTTATGTTGAGCCCTTATCCAACGGGCAGTAGCCAAACGGGTGAGGCAAGCTGGCCATTCCCATAAGAGAATAAGAGCAAGCAGTTCCCGATTTGCATTGTCAGATGCATGAAAGGGCGAGAGGAAGTTCTGTCACCCTCAAGCAGACACTTTGCGGGGCAGAGACGGAATGAATCTTCCTTTCCTGTGAGTATGATCACAAAGAAACTCATGAAAGAGGGCTTGTTCACACGATGTCCGGATTCTGTCCAGACCAGAGCAGTTCGCTCCTGCACTAAAACGCATCACAATGTATCCCTATGTGTTTTATGGGCCCCAGATCACACGAGCGCAGTGCTTTCCATTCCGGACAAAGAAAGATACTGCATGTCACATTTTCTCTGGTCCGGAAAGCGCACAAACGCCTCAAGACGCAACAAAAATGTGCCAGAAACGCACCGCACTGCAGCTAACTGGGAAAAAATAAATAAAATGGAATGCGTCTGGAATGCGGTAAAAACGCATCAAATACACGTCAAAAAACGTGCTGCACACATTGCTCAGCATCTGCAGATCTGCTCCAGATCTGGACGAGAAAATGTTGTGAACAGGCCCTAAGGGCAAGTTCACACCATATGCAGTTGTGATGCAGTCCGTTTATTTTGACTGCTGCAGTCAAAATACATCACAATGCTTTCCTATGGGCTTTCTTGTGCCTAATTCACACCATTGCAGTCAGTTCAACTGCAGTCAGGAAAAGTACTGCTTGTCCTACTTTACCTGCATCTAACTGCACTAAACGCATCAAAACGCAGTGCAATCACAACAGATCGCAATGCAACTGCGCAGACGCACGCAGTTGTGATGCAGTTTCTGGTGTGAACTAACCCTAAAACCTATACTGTGTTAGGCATGGGCCTTCAGCTGGCAGTGGCCTTATCTTCGGTATCAAGAACTTCTAAATTGGGGATAGAAGATCTGGAGGATGATATTAACAGGGGAGTGAGTGGACACAGTCTCCTGGATAGGATACATGATATGAAATTTGGCACCTGATTTCACTACGGGATCCATGTCCAAGGGTATGGTACCCTCTGTAGTAGCCCGCCGGGCACTGTGGCTCAGACCATGGGCGGCCGATTCTTCCTCAAATAGCCTATGTTCCTGGGCATTCCAAGGTGATATTCTTTTTGGCCTGAAATTGGATAGCTATATTAAAAGCTATCGATGGCATTAAATCGGTGTTACCTCAGGAGAGGAGAAACCAGAGAAACTATAGAGATGGCAGGATTCGCCAAAATGATACTATTTTTCATGACTCCTGGACCTACAAACCTGAAAGAGAATCTACTCGATCAATGAAGGTGTCGGTCCAAGAGATGTGAGTCGGGGTGATACTATAACTATTCTCAGATCTCTGGCCAGAATCAATAGCAGACGCTTGGGTACTGAAGATAATCGCCGAGGGATACAAACTGGGGTTCAGATTGTTTCCCCAAAAGGCAGGTTCATAGTGACCAAACTCCCAAGGGATTTGATGAAGAAATGGGCTATGTTTGACTTTGGGGGTCCCCTTCTATCCCAAGATGTCACAACTGCGGTACCCGAGCAGCAAGAGTTCATGGGGTTCTATCCCATTTGTTCCTAACTCCCGAAGCAAAAGGAGGTTGGAGGCCAGTCTTGGACTTATACCAGCTTAACCGATTCATCTGCGTCAGGTAGTGCAGAATGGAGTCCCTCCAAACGATCATACAAGTGGTACATCCAGGGATGTGTATGATGTCCATAGAGCTGACGGATGCGTACTTCCATGTTCTCATTGCTCCAGATCAGCAGGAGTTCCTAGGATTTTGTATCGGTCAAGGCATTTTTAATTCAGGGCAATGCCATTCGGGCTCAGCAACGCCCCCAGGACTTTTTGGGGAAATTCTGGTTACCGTTGTAGAATAGGTATGGAAACGGTACCGTTTTCCATTATCTTGACGATGTCCTAATCCTGGCAGATTTGGAAAAAGAGGTCATCTCCAGCAGAAATATCAGCATAGACACCCTGCAGAGATGTGGATGGTTACTGACAATGGAGAAGAGCAACCTGATGCCGACTCAAGAGATTGTGTACTTGGGAGCGGCATTCAATACAAATCTAGCCTCGGTTCAACTGTCCAAGGACAGAGTTCTCAAATGAAACAGAAGGTGGGCACAATGCAAACAAGCAAGCATGTCACAGCCGAGTGGTTCATGGGCCTATTGGGTTCCATGTCATCAACCATAGGCCTTACTCGGTGAGCCCAATTGAATATGCGACCTGCAGAGTTGTTTTTTCCCAACAGGGCAGGTATCGGAACAAGAGGCACCATTTTCTGCAAGGTCAAGGTATCCCTACAATGGTGGTCTCAAGACAAAAATCTGCGCAAGGAGTTTTCCATTAGGGAACACCCTGTGAGTCACCGTTACGACCGACGCAAGAGGATCGGGTTGGGGAGCTCACGTGGACAACCTATTCGCTCAGAGGGTTATGGACGGAGATTGGGAGGAACACTTCGTCCACTCTACTAGAGCTGAAGGCCGTATTCCAAGAACAAATACGGGTAACAAATCTTCGACACACTTGTAGGAGGATGAGGCAATCCTCAGGTGGATCTAATGGTGTCTCCCAAGAATTGCCATGTCGGCCGATCTCTGTCGAGAATATTCAATCACAGAGTGAAAGGCCAGGGCATTCTTTCACATCCATGGAATTACGAACTATCTTATGTATTTACCCCTTTTACCATGATCATAGCAGTCCTTCAAAGGATGTGGAGGGAGAAGGTGGTGGTTATTGCCGTTATCCCACATTGGCCGAGACATCCATGTTCCCTCTCTTGATGTCCCTCAACATTCAGGAATCGGGGCAGATCCCAGTGACATCGGATCTCCTGTCTCAAGGGCCGGTCCAGCACCCGCATCCTCAGCACCTCTGTCTGACGGCCTGGCTGCTGAAATGGGAAGGCTGAAAAAGGATTTTCACAGGAGGTTATTGATTATGCTTTTGAAATCCCGGAAGGTGTCCACTTCCTCTGTATGTTGTAGCATGTGGATGGTGTTTTCCACATGGTCAATAGACCACGGCATTGTCCTTTCTCAAATCTCATCTGAGGCGATCCTGGGGTTCCTCCACACAGGTCTGGACAAAAGGATGAGCCTTAGTTCCCTCAAGGTACAGGTGTCGGCTACATCAGCCATCACTGGGATCAGGTGGACTCAGAATCAGAGCGTTTCCAAGTCTCTGAAGGCAGTGAGTAAAGTATATCCTCCTAATAGGCTTCTTTTTCTGTCTTGGGATGTTCCTCTAGTTTTGGAGGCTCTTTCAGGACCTCCCTTTGAGCCAATACAGTCTATTTCTATGCAATTCTTGTCATACAAGATGGTCTCCTTAGAAGTCCTGGCTTCAGGTAAGGAGGGTGTCGTGGCTCCAAGCAATGTGGTTGTGGTCAACCCTTTCTCATTTTTCATGAGTATAGAGTAGTTCTGAGAACTGTATGAGGTTTCTTGCCGAGGGTTCATGCTAGTGTTCATGTGAATCAGGATATTATCCTTTCCGCTCTCAACTCAGAAGGGATGGAAGGATGTTTGAGCCTAGTCCGGTGTCTGAGGACATATGTGGAAGGATGTAAGGACTGGGAAAAGTCCAGAAGGCTGTTTATGATTACGGCAGGAGCCAGGAAGGCATTGGCAGCAGCCAAAACTTCATTAAGCAGATGGCTTGTGCTCACCATCCTTAACGCCTGTCAAACAGCGGGAGTCTCCCCACCAAAAGGCATCGGTGTTCACTCCACAAGGGCCGTGTCCTCCTCATGGACAGCAGCAGCTGGAGTTTCAGTGAATCAAAATTGCAGGGCAGCAACATGGGCGTCTAGGTCTACCTTTTGTTAGCATTCTCGACTGGACGTCAGGGCTGCAGTGAATGACCACTTCGGTAGAAGTGTTTTGCTCTCTCGACTTGGAGTCGAGTGATACATTTATTTTTCGCATTC